AAAAAAAAAAAAAAAGGATTTTGCGTTTCTGTGCTGTCCAGATTATTTGACAGACGCATGATTTTATAATTTTTGCGATGAGCGAGAGCGGCTAATTTGACAATTTCTTATCGTATAAAACAAATTGACGTCAGTTTTCTTGTGTCTCTCCTGTTATTGACAATGACTTTCGTCATAACATTGTCAAAGTAGTCTACGGATCCACTCGGCTATCGCCTCGTGGATTGGCAATATTATGACGAAATTCATGATCAATAAAAGGACTAGGCTCGATTACCAGCCGCTGTTCGGGAAAGGAGCGGAACGTAGACCGGACTAGAGAAAGCGGCCGAAATCGAGCCTAGGGTGATGTAAATGTATTTCAATCAACTTACTACGCACTTCTTGCAACAACGAGCCTCGCGGTAAGGACACATGTATAATACTGATCCATCTCTTATACCGTAGCTGGAAAGAGTCCGGTCATCTTCTAGTTTGTTGCCAGCAAAAGTAATATGTTGCTGGTTGGTCGGCATTCCTGTTTCGTCCCTTATTTCTCTCTTCAAAGCTCGGACAGTGAGTCCCGGTACGATCACTATTGTAATCACGGTATTTCCACTGTGCGTCTTCACGAAAATTTTCGGGACAAAATCAGATACCGGTACATCTAAAAGGTAAGGACGCATGTACAATACAGATTCATATCTAATACCGTAGCTGTGAAGAGTGCGGTCATCTTCTAGTTTGTTGCCATTAAAAGTAATATGTTGCTGGTTGTTCGGTATTCCTGTTTCGTCCCTTATTTCTCTCTTCAAAACTTGGACAGTGTCTTCCGGTTCAATCTCTATTGTAATCACGGTCTTTCCACTGTGCGTCTTCACGAAAATTTGCCTGTAAAAATCAGGTGTCGGTACATCTAAAAGGTAAGGACGCATGTATAATACTGATCCATCTCTTATACCGTAGCTTTCAAGAGTGCGGTCATCTTCTAGTTCGTTGCCATTAAAAGTAATATGTTGCTGGTCTGTGGGTATTCTTGTTTCGTTCCTAATTTCTCTCTTCAAAGCTCGGACACTATCCGGTTCAGTCTCTATTGTAATCACGGTCTTTCCACTGTACGTCTTCACGATAATTTCCCTGTCAAAATCAGGTGCCGGTACATCTAAAAGGTAAAGACGCATGTATAATACGGATCTTTATTATCCAACTGCAGCGAATACCGTCCAAATAACAGTACAAATATACAGCGATATTGGACAGTTATTTGTACAGTAGAAAACCTGTTTGCCGTACAGGTCGGCGCGCGCACGCAAAACTGTCACACTCTCTCTCTTTTCATAGATAAACTTATTGACTACAGAAGTTGGATAATAAATCTCTTATTAGACGTTTTGGTGTGTAGTATCGCTGTATATTTTTACTCGTTGTTTGTATTTTGACTGGTCCTACGGGCTCGTCAAAATACGACACCACTCGTAAAAATATTAACTACTTAATAACCGAGAGTGAGGTCGTTACGGGAAAATCTCAAACTGAGGCCTTGCCGTA